TACTTCATTCTGCTACTTGCCAGTGACAATGACTCTGAGGTGGCTCTGAGGCTCGATCGCTGTGACTGCCGCAGACAGCAGCTGTGGTGCCCCATGCTACACATCCTTGTCATCTCTCTACTCTGCTGCAGGATCCCTGTGCCACCTTTGACATCACTTCATTTTGTTTATTTTAAAACAAGAAAACATTGGAGGAAAATTTATAAAAATGGATCTGTAGAAAAGCCAGGTAAGTTGCAGCAGACAACTAGTCTGTTTAAGAACTGGCCTCTCAAACTTGAGATGATAACTTGGCTCATGGGGGAAATAATGGCAGACGAGGAACAGATACCAGTATGCAGATAGAAAAAGAACCTTCATGGTGAGATAGAGCAAGAACTTGGAAACGACCATCACTTGGTCTTGAAGCCACCATCCTTGGAATCTGGGGATCCCTCTCCTTCCCAGCACGAGTCTGCCTAACGTCTTGGTTTAATTTTAGTCTGTTTTGTTTCCCAGGCTTGGCAACTGGATATTGAAAAACCTGTGTTAGGAAACTTGATGCAGCCCCTCACTTGAGAACTCGCTGAGGTGATTTCCCCTCTTCTGGGCCTCAGCTTCCAAACTTAAAAAAAAAAGAGGGGCTGGACTAGATGACTTCTGAAGCCCCCTGCCCACTCTAGCCCATTTCAATCATTCGGCAAACACGTCCTGGCTGTCTTCCAGGTGCCATACCTCGCACCGTGTGTTGGAGGAAGATGTGGTTCCTACCTCATCACTTGCCTGGGAAGGGGAGCAGGGAGGGGTGTCCTGATACACTTCTTGGTGACAGGACGTCACTTTCCGCACTCCACTGGACAAGAATCCTTCTTGGAGTCCTTCCCTTCCTGGCCTGACACATCCACAAGGCAGAGCGTTTGTATATATGAGAAGTACAGCAGCCAATGCAAACACCATTGGGAGCATCCGGTTTCCAGGGGACATACTTGCAGCTGCCAAGTATACCTGGAGGTGCTTTTGACACAGTGATGAGATTCTGATGCCATCTCCATATCACAGCTGACTGCAGACAAGGTACGATTAGCAAGCTAGATGGTTATCTTTTCAAAAGGCCTTTGCTTTCTCATCCCTGATTCCATTATCTGTTATTGTCACTGGGGCCAAGAGATTAACAGCTGAAACTTTTTAGACTACAGCCCCAGAGGAGGCATGAAAATGAACACATCCACAAGTTGGGGCCTCATCACAAGGAGGATACAGAGGCCTGTGCCCAGATCTTTCCAATACACGCTTCCAAACATGCACAGATCCTGGGATGTCAGTGTTGGAAAAGCCCTAACAAGGTGTCTACTTCCTACATCACAAACCAACCTCAACAAATCATTGACTCTGCGTGAAGAGCAGTGCCGAGAAACAGTGTGAGGCCAAGTCTGGGCTTAGTGGAAAAACAGACTGATTGGCAATGTCCGCCCTGGACATGAAGAGGCAAGCACTATTATGATACACATTTGCCTTTCCCCTGCCCTGAATCTAATCTTTGCTTCACGTATGAGGAATGCAAAGCCCGGAGAGGTGAAACCACTTCGCTGAGTTTGCAGCATGAGTTTAGAGCAGGAGAGAGGATGAGAAGCCAGGCCTTCCTCAGCTGGGCTCCTTGGGAAAAATCAAGGCCAAGCTGAGAGGAGGAACCCAGGGAGCCACTTTGGGGGCATCAGATTTCAGCTGGGCATGAGAAAGAGAAGTGATTAGCAATCTGAAGGACATCAGCTCTTCCAGAAAAACTAAAGAAATCACTGGAAAGCCACATTCTATGGTTCTTAACTTTTTTCTGACATGTATTGTTCTACTACCAAGAAGACCGAAAGAAACAGGCAAGAAAAGTATTGATTTCTGGATGTCCTAAAAATAAAGTTCAGGTCTGTCACAGCGAGAAACTCCTGATCCTTGACAGCTTTTTCTCTAAAGATTTATTTATTTATTTGAAAGACTCGGCTCAGAAATGGGGAGGGGCTGCATCAAGTTTCCTAACACAGGTTTTTCAATATCCAGTTGCCAAGCCTGGGAAACAAAACAGACTAAAATTAAACCAAGACGTTAGGCAGACTAGTGCTGGGAAGGAGAGGGATCCCCAGATTCCAAGGACGATGGCTTCAAGACCAGCTTTTATGCTTGGCCTTGCAGCTTTGGGAGAAACCAGCTGCCTGACCAGAGGAACGCTGAGCTCTGGAAGCATTCTGTGTGGCTCACAGAGCAGCTGCCCTACTCAGCGCCAGAGACATGGCCCAGAAGGAGCTGCCATGATCAATCTGGAGCCTTACAAGCCAGCAGATGACCTGAGCGCTATCCATTTCAGACTCTTTAGTCTGAAATCCAGTGGAGAAACCAAGGAGTCTGAGGAACAGTCCTTCACCCTCCGAGAAACTTCTCCCAACCCCACCAGAAACCTATTTCTCATATGCATGAAGTCCCATGAGACTTCCCTCCAGGGCCACTGAGGGTTGTTTTCTTAGGAGAAAGAGCACGGTAGTGCTCTGGGATGATGGCCAGCAACGACAAGGGTGACAGGCTCGGCTCAGAACCGGTCAGCCCTGTGGAGACTGCACCATGTACACAACCCAACTTCCCAAGAGCAAGCCCTTGGTGCTATGTGCACGTTCCAGCTCACTGGGATGATGGACAGGGCACCGGCGTGCCGAGAAGTCAGCCTGTTCGCTCAAGGCCAGCTGACATTCAAACAAGTCCAGCGCTCTGCATCTGCAGGAGAGTGGAACACAAAGGGGCTGTGTGGGAATTTGGCAGGGTGTCCCCAAAAGGCACCAGATGAATGCTGAGTCCTGCAGCACCTACAAGAGCTCATCATTGGGGAAACAGCTCCGGTCTGCTGCTCCCAGGAAGCAAAGAGACCATCTTTAACGCACGGACAATCAGTTGGCAGCCACCCACTGAACACACACACACACACACACCAGACCCCTTTGCCACTCCTTCCTCCTCTTCATCCTATTCCAGAGGAAATGCAATGAGCAAGAACTACACCTCCCCAGAGAGGCCTATCTGTCCATTTCAGTTAGGGGCTTCCAGCAGCAGCCAGCTGTTGCTCTTTCCTCCCTCTCTCTCTCTCTCTCTCTCTCTCTCTCTCTGCTTCTCATACTCTCTCTCTTCCCCCAAAAGGCTGCCTTACTCCATCAATACCCTCTTGTACAAGTGAGTAATTCACTTTGAAAGCTCAGGCCAAACTGGCAGTTAACCTTGACCTTCTCTCTACACATCTGGGTCTATAGAAAATGAAAATCAGGACTTCTCCAGCATCTACAGCAAATGAAATACGAGGGCTTTCTCCAGGCAGAAGTGGAAAGTCAAGAGCTATTTCAGACTCTGCACTGGGAAAGGAAACCCCCTGCCCTTGGCCTGGGCTATGTCAAGCATGGACCCCCCTGGCCCAGAGAGGCATGCTACGAGGGACTCCTGCCTCCAGAAAGGAAAGAGAAGCTGTCCCTGGACTCTTCACTGGTTCACTGGAGCTGGGTTGATGATCACATTTTACAGATGGAGAAAGTAAGGCTGAGGGAGGGAGAGAACTGCTGACCAAGTATGCACACAGCAAGCTAACAGCAGAAGTAGGGACAGAACCTTGGCCTCTTCACCCTGATGCTGGTGCAGGAGAGGAGCAGAGGAAGGGGTTTTCTGAAGGAAAAGTCCCTACAGACACAGAATTTCAGGGAGAGAGTTCTTAAGTGGCTGTCAGGGCTCGAGCCAGAGGCTTAGAAAAGGGCCAGGGCCTTGGTTTCTAAACAGTAAGATGGACCAGAAAGATCAACCAGACCCTCTGGGATGGTTTGCAACAGTTACCGGAGTGACAGGCTGAGCTCAGATTGGTCAGCCCTGTAGCAAAGAGCTCTCTGTACTCCCCATGCCAGACAACCCAGACAGCAGCCAAGGAAAACCATCAACCTCAGAAAGTCAGCCTGTTCCCTTGGGGCCAGCCAACAATCAGCCTGACCCTGAAGTGCAAATTATCTACTTCCCATGAGACCAGGGAAATCCCGAAAAAAAAAATCTGAGATGTCTTGCTGTGTGTGAAACAGTTCAGGCATGCACATACTCCCGGGCATCTTCTCATCCTCTGAGCCAGGGGCTGGGATGGCAGGAGTGACGCGATGGAGCTTGCATATTCTCTCTCTCTCTCTCTCTCTCACACACACACAGTTCAGAAGAGACAGAACGACCGAGATCCCACTTTCAGTTGCAAGAGACACCACACCCAGTGGATTGGACAAGTTTGGAAGACAGGGAAGGCATCCTGTCCTCTATCCCCCATGTACTGGACACCAACTTAACAGTCTTGGAGGGCATCTGGGGGTCTGCCCACCAGCACCCCCACTTTCTGCATTCTCAGAAGGTCAAAGGCAGCAAGCAAGTCACTCAAAGACCAGGCGCTCACCCCCCTACCCGACTCCCAGGAGCCCGAATGCAGTTGCAGAGAAACTCAGAGGGTTTGAGAAAGCAACAAGGCAGGGAGAGGGGTGGCAAATAAGCCGGGCGGCCCAGGAATCTGCCTGTGCACGCAGATGGTACCGAACGCCAGGATCAGCAGGTGGGGGGACACAGGGAAGCCCTGGACTTCAACCAGGAGGACCAGAGTATCCCTTCGTATTGGCAGAAGTCACCCTGGGATACAGGGATGCAGACAGCGGCCTCTCAAAGAAAACAGGCTGCGAGAGGTCAGGGAATACCGGCTGAAGACAGAAAGGAGGACGGCAGCTGACGCCCAGACACAGGGCTCCCCGCTGGGCACCAGGTCTCTGGGATTCTAGCGCTGGCTCTGTTCTGACCGGCGCGGAACCTGGGCAAGCCCCTGTCCTCCGCTAAGCCTCCATTTTTCCATCTGAAAAATGGGAAGAGCAGACTCTTCCGGAGCTGACTCTGAGGAAACACTCAGGAGAAGGGTGGAGAAGGAACCGCAGGCTGGCAGGAAAGTCGGGTTGGGGTGTTCTCACACCCACCTGAAACCGAGCACTCACCTGTCCCGCCGCCGGGGCCGCCGCCGCCCCGGGTCCCCCAGGGGTGCCGTCGGGCTGCCGCTCGCGGTACAGCTCCCAGAGCCCCACGTTGGGCAGCAGGACCAGGGCCGCCAGCACCAGCGCCACCGCCTGCAGGAGCCGTTTCTCCTTCCGCCTCATCGGGGCCGGTCAGCCCCGCTGCGCCCCGCCTGCCCCGCCGCGCCGCCTCGGTTTCCGCGCGTCCGCCAGTCCGCCCGGCGGCGGCAGCAGCTCGGCGAGCACAAGCGGCCGCGGCGCCGGCCCCGCTCCAACTCCGCGGCACTTCCGCTGCTCGTCGGCCGGGGAGCCGGGCGCCGCCACCGCGCCGCCGCCGCAGGGAGGTCGCGCCGCTGCCGCCGCCCCTTGGTTCTGCGGGGTCGCGCGTCGCGCGCCGCCCTTCCGGCGGTGGGGCGTGGAAGCGCCGGCTTGCGGCCAGGCTTCCACCGACTCGCGCTTGAGGGACGGTTCGGACCAAGCTGCACGACAAGGTCCCGGGGCGCACAGTGGCCCCCTCTTCCTCGCCATGGTGCGGCCCGCTCCTTGGCGGCTGCCCCGCCCGCGGGAGCTTCGCGAAAGTCGCGGAGTTGGGGAGTTGGGCGCCAACTGGTGCGGGCTGGGCTCTAGTGGGCGGGGTGCGTGCCCGCGTGCCTGGGAGCGCCCCGCCGAGCCACCTCTGCTGGGGACCGCAACCCCGAGTTATCGGGCTCCCTGGAGATCGGCGAAGCGCGCTGGAGCCCAGACGACGCTCCGCGTCTGACGCGCCCGTGCAGCCGCTTTTCACTCTCCTAGTCTCGGCCCGGAGGACTCGGTGTTCCCTGCCGTGAGATGGGGCCAAAGCGGTGCGGGCGGGCCCAGGTTTCCTTGCTTTGTGAGGCCCCACATGTTGGGGGTGAATGCCCGCACACCGCGCGTCGGTGGTCCCTGCAAACCAGTGGGAGCGGGCAGGAGGGGAGGGGTGGGGAAGTGGCCAGGGCCTTTTCTGCTGTCCACCCCCTTTGGAGTTGGGATGCCTTCCATCCCCACGGCTGCGTCTGCACACTTAGCACCTCTGCCTCGCTTTCAGCCACCCAGCAAACCTTCAGCGAGCGCCTATCAGACACGGTGCCAGGCTCCAGGAGGGAACGCTCGCGGACCCCGGCACGGACGTCTGGGAGCTGAAACGTCCAACACGTGGTGGCACCAGACGAGGCAAAGGGCCCTGGAGGGGACTGCCCAGGGCTGCCTCAGAGCTGGCCTCCCACAGCAAAGCCTGTGGCTCCTGCTCCAGCGCTCAGCGCTCATCCCTTAACTGCTTCCTCCCTGCTGGGGACGGGCAACGCAGCCCCCTCTTTGCTGCCACCTCCACTTGCATCCTCTTGATCCTCGCTTCTCCAGCGCCCTGAGCCCTTCCCTCCCCGCTCTTGAGCCCCAGGCCGAACTGTGGTGTCTAGTTTTCTGACATCACAGCTCGGAGTTTGACATTTGCTCCCCAGCCTTCCAGGCTCCCATCACCTGGGCTCTGCAGCCCACGCTTCTGGGAGCCCCGCACTTGGCCCAGCCTGGCTTTCGTGTATTCCCTCCTGTACCCTTGACCACCCAGTTCCTTCTGCCTCTCTGTTGGGTGGGAATCTTATACATTCCTCCGTGTCTGGCTGAACTGCCACTGCCTCCACAAAACTCCCCCGGGAAACTGCCTCTTTTGGGGGGATTTCTGTCAATCATTACCTTTCATGGAATACTGTATTCCAGGCAGCCTGTTAGCCTCTGACAAGCATTAGCTCGCTTCATGCTCCCAGGCACCCTGGGCGGTAGGCGCCTGGCTTGCACCCTCTTGCAAATGAGACTAGATGAAAGCAGGCAGCAGCCATGGTGATCTTTATCACTCCTCTGCTCATGTCCCACCAGTGGCTTCCCACCTGCCCCTGGGTTCCTTCGAGGAAGCTACAAGCCGCTGCAAGGTCGTCTGTGATCAGTCCTCACCCCTTCGTCTCTTCATTATGCTGCAGCCACTGTCACCTCCGTGCCCTCCACCTCTGCTGGGACTGTCCACTCTTCTGCTTCTACATCCTAGCCCTGTGTCTTTTTTAAATGTATCTTTTTGAAAAAAAATTTTTTTTGACAGGCAGAGTGGACAGTGAGAGAGAGAGAAAGGTCTTCCTTTGCCGTTGGTTCACCCCCCCCACCAATGGCTGCTGCGGCCGGAGCACTGCGCCTATCTGAAGCCAGAAGCCAGGTACTTCTCCTGGTCTCCCATGCGGCTGCAGGGCCCAAGCACTTGGGCCATCCTCCACTGCACTCCTGGGCCACAAGCAGAGAGATGGACTGGAAGAGGAGCAACCGGGACAGAATCTGGCGCCCCGACTGAGACTAGAACCCAGTGTGCCGGCGCCGCAGGCAGAGGATTAGCCTAGTGAGCTGCGGCGCTGGCCTAAATGTATTTTTTATTGTGCTAAAATATACATAATAGAATTTACCCGGAGCTGGAGTTGTGGCACAGTGGCTTAAGCCAGTGCCCACAATGCTGGCATCCCACATAAGCATAGCTTCCTGTGCCAGCTGCTCTCCTTCTAGTCCAGCTCCCTGCTAATTGGGCCTGGGAAAGCAGCAGAAGATGGCTTGAGTACCCTGGTACCCACGTGGGAGAACTGGAAGAAGCTCCTGGCTCTTGATTTCTGCCTGGCGCAGCCCCGACTGTTGCTGCTATTTTGGGAGTGAACCACCAGATGAAAACACCTCTCTCTCTCTCTCTGTCTCTCCCTCCCTCCCTCCCTCCCTCCCTCCCCCCCTCGCTTCCTCTCTGTCTCTTCCTCCCTCTTTCTATTCAAATAGCTAAATCTAAAAGTAAAATACAGTTTAACATTTTAGCTGTCTTTTTATTTTTAAATATTTATTTGAAAGAGAGAGAGAAGAAGAGGCAGAGAGAGAGAGAGAGAGGTCTTCCAACTGCTGGTTCACTTCCCAGATGGCTGCAATGGCCAGAGTTGCACTGATTTGAAGCCAGGAGCCAGGAGCCAGGAGCTTCTTCTAGGTCTCCCACATGGGTGCAGGGGCCTAAGGCCTTGGGCCATCTTCTACTACCTTCTCAGGCCATAGCAGAGAGCTAGATCGGAAGTAGAGCAGCCGGGACTTGAACTGGCACCCATATTGGATGCTGGCACTACATGTGGCAGCTTTACCCACTACCCACAGCGCTGGGCCCAATTTTAGCTATTTTTAAGTGTATGGTTAAGTAGCATTAAAAACATACACTCAGTTGTCCCACATTCTCCAAAGCCTTTCTCTACAACATCTTTATCATCTCAAATGGAAACTCTGTACTCAATTAACACTAATTCCACCACTCCACCGGTGATCAGCAGTCACCATTCTGTCTTCTGCTTTATCACTTTGACTATTACAGGCACTTCATTGAAACAGAATCATGCATGATTATGTCATACTTATTTCACTTATGTTTCCAAGGTTCATCCATGTTGTTGCATTATTAGACTTCCATTCCTTTTTTAGATTGAATAATATTCCATTGTATGTGTATACCATGTTTAGTTTGTTCAGAAGATGGACATTTTGTTTATTTCCACCTTTTGGCTATTGTGAATAATGTTGCTATGAATAGCCCCGTGACTTTGATATTGCAGGGGTTACACAATATTTACATTATAGATAATGTTACAACATTCTCTTTGTGTCTTTAGGGTACTAGGTACAATCTTGGTAATAGCCAAGAGAGTAAAGCTTTTATAAACACAAGACTCAACTGTGGCTTCCCTGCACCTTGGGATAATGTATGTGAATCCTTACCGTAGCCAATGGGACCCTACCTGAACTGACCCGACTACTAGCTTTGCTTCTCTATTTAGGCTGCCCTTGCTGTGTTCCTCAAACTCACCCACTTGAAGCTCGCCTCAGGGGCTTTGCAAATGTGCTGTACCCTTGTCTGGGATTCGTTCCTCTAAACCTAGGCATGGCTGGCTTCCTCCTGTCTATTCCTCCTGTCTCTCAGGTCTTGCCTTAGAGACAGCATCCCTGACCAACTGCTCTGAGATCTCCTCTCCATTTTGGTATCAGCTTTGTTCTCCCTCTCCAGACTGTGAATTACAAACAAGCAGAGATTTTTTTTTTTTTTTGAACCTTCAGTATCCCCTGCCTCTTCCCTTATTGCGAATCAGAAACCAGGAGCTCCTTCCAGGCAGAGGAATTTATGAAAAGGGTCCCTTTCCTGGAGCCAAAACAGCCAGAGCAGAACCAAGGAATCAGGATTCCAGGTACTCAGTAATTGCTGGTGGAGTGAAGTATAGAGTTGAGGTCACGAGGGAAAGGAGAATATTCAGCGTCTTTCTCCTTCTACCCCTTCTTGCAGCTCCCTCGAGGATTCTGCAGGAAATTGGATTTGAGCTTTTTCCTCATGTCTCACCAGAATCTCTTGTTGATCAAAGCTACACATCGGCCCAGTCTGCCCCCAATGGGGACTCTCGCCTGAGAACCCGGCTTTAATCCTAGGCCTCTTTGATCACCTTCTACAGTGCCGGATGCACCAGGCAGGGGGAGGGCACACAGGGCTTTATCCTACTCCTAGAGACAATGCTGTTGGAGACCTGTGGGCAGGCCATTAGCTCTGGCTGGTTTCTGGGAAAGCTGATCTAGTCATTGATTGAAATGGAACAAGAAATGTTACTTTCAGATTGAGCCCTCCTGGGCCTGTTATGGGCATTAAATGAGATAAGGTGCATAAAGGACTTAGAGCTGACTCTGTTCTAAGCACTAGTAGCTGTGAGTAAAATAAAGCCCAGCACCAGCCGCAACTCTGAAAAGGGAGGAACAGGATTTCAGCCATGGGGAGAGTACTTTGGGTGCTCTCCCTTGTGCTCTGGACAACACTTTTATTTCTTTAATTGTTTGTCTATTGATTTAAAAGTCAGAGAGAGAGAGAGAAGGAGAGAGATCTTCCATCCACTGGTTTGCTTCCCAAACATCCTCAATAGCTGGACTGTGCCAGGCTAAAGCCAGGAGCCAGGAACTCCAGCTGGGTCTACCACATAGGTGGCAGAAACCTAAGTACTTGGGCCAACATTTGCTGCTTCCCAAGCTATTGGCAGGAAGCTGAGTAGCTGGTACTTGAATTGCCACTCCAATAAGGGATGTCGGTGTTCCAAAGAGTGGCTTAACCTGCTGTGCCACAACACCCAACCCTTGCCTACACCTCTCTGATCTCAAATCCCATCACTCTCCTTCTCACTCCTGCCAAGCCAGACACACCTTCCTCTTATCCCTGTCCCTTAAGTGCACTGTGCTCTTTCCAATGCCAACACCTTTGCATTAGCTGTTGTCTCTGTTG